AGTAGCGAAGGATTGAATGCGAGAACTGGCCACGAAGTAGATATGAAAGATAGCATTGCCTACTGCCGTCAAAATATTGTGGTTTACAACAAGTGTCTATCCAGAAACTTTGAGTTTGGACGACAATGAAGCGTTAATGTACTTAATGCACAAATCCCTCCAATAAGCCAATTGGGCGGGGAATTCCGCCCACATTGTACCTGCGTCGCACTGTGTAGATCTCATTCTCGGAGACTACGGTATCGGGTCCTCCAATTCGCGCTACGTTATTGGTGTAATAATCAAAAATTACTTCGCCAAAATAAAGACTCCAGAGAATGCTGTTTCTTCTTCGACCTCTAATTTCATTATCTGGATCCAAGTCGGCAAAAAAGTAACTGGCTAAATCTTCTTGTGATCGCCGTGTAAACCTGAAAGAAGGTGCATGTCAAGTATCTTATTTTGCACAGCATTCCGGATTGACGCCATTGGCAGTAAGAATATTCGAATTTCCATTGCCACTACCTTCATCGCGTTCCCATGCTTCGTCACCTTGCATGGACATCCACAGTTGGGGGGACGGTCTTCCTTCCATAGCAGCCCTAGATCGACCAATCAGTCGACAAACACCTCCTTCGACTTAGCCTTCAGTTTCGGCCGCGTAGTAAACGTAGTTCAGTTTCGGCCACGTATGTAGTTAGCGTATTTCAGCAAGGCAGCAGTCATTTTTGCTAAAGAATAATACGATAAGGGTAACAAGTGCGAAGTAGCGATCGTAGGCCACCGTTCCAGTGAGAGATATAATGGCTATATTTGAGTGTCTGCGTTGTCTAATCTCCGTTGCGCAGAGTTCAAAATTTTTCCTTCCGGAGGGTGTAAGTACAACCCCCCGTATTAACTATTGTGTCTTTTCCATAATTTAATGCTCATAATTGATGTGCAGTCACCGACACGGAGAAGGAGGACCTGGTCAATCCTCGCGCTCTGTCTCGCTCAGAGGAGAATCAAGGCAACAGAAGTTTTATTCATTAAATAGAAGGATCCCAATTTTCTTCATGACACGAAACATGTGATCGTAGAGACTTCTACTTCCAGACAACTGCCGAGCTTTTTTCGAACTTCCAAACCACCCATTTATAAATTAGTTTTTTCGGCTCGCTTCCTAAACTCATCTTAATTATGGGCATTTCTTACCTTTTGTTGTTGCTTTGTGCAAATTTCATGCAAGAAAACGATTTGTTTTCGACAGCAGCCATCTCAACACTAACATCAAAACACTTATCAATCTAAGGTTTTTTTTTCCAATACTTTGCTCGCATTCAGTCCGCTTTAGAATGCATGATTGAGTTGTGTGATGACTTACCGCGGAAAGTTGCTGTTCTGTCAAGTTTGCTACACTTGAATGCGAAGTTTACGATAAAGGCAACCCATTATATAGAGGTGTTCGGTGTCGTATAAGAAAATAACATGAGAACGGCACGAGAAGAGCCCATTTTGGCCGTTGCTTCTCACTTGATGTGACTCCATCGTGTCGCCCTTCAACACCTAGCGCTTCCTGCTTCAACTCGAGAGGCCTAGAGCTCCGAACGCGAGGGTAGGGGTACCACGGCGCAAGCGCCGCGGACGGCCACTCTAAATCGACAGTGATATATCTTTCGCTGCCAATTGCGCGTCTGTTCACACCCTTATAGGTACCTGGTAGCCCCTTCACATCCGCTTATCGTGGAATTCTCCTATTAATAAACATGGGTAACTGGGGCGTATACAAGGCGGGACCCCTCCATTTCACGGTACCGCTCGGTTTTGTTGTGGGGGTGAGGGGGTGGGGGGGGGGGCGGTGGGCGGGTAGGGGGGGTGTGGCGGGGTGTGGTGTTGTGCGTGTGGATAGAGATGTGGTGGGCTGGACGGACCGGATTCCACATCCAGACACGTCTAGAACACGCGTAGTACGTCAGGTCGTTAAGCAAGTAGAATACGAAAAAACAGTCCCAGCTAGGTTGCTACATTCGACACTAATAGTGTAGAAGTTCGAGTTCAAATGGTTCCTGTGTTCCAAATCGGTCGTAAATGCCTCTACAGCCAATCACGCGATCTCCACGGCTGGCAAGAGGGGCCCACGACTGGTGGCCTCCACGCCCACTGCCCACTCCGATGTAAGTTTTTGATTCAAATTAACGCTTCCTAATGTTCTTGCTAGGGCTAACCCATCGTCTACAATTAGTGTCGCAGTGACTACCCGCTGGCTGGACAGGTTGCTCCAAGCCTCAAGTAGAGATTGTGGTCAGCGCCATGATGAAATTCCAACTAGCCGGCCCCAAAACGCGAGTTCATGATTAAAATGCAAACGCCGTCAAAAAAATTTTTTGAAAGATAGAGGCGGCCTCTATACCGGGGATGAAGAAAAACCATGAGAAATGGTCGAGAACCCAAGAAATGGGACTCCTTTTTGCCCGTTGACTTCCGCACTGATGCGACTATCCTCAATGCCGCCCTCTTCAGTGCTAACGATTTTTCTGCTAAAATGCTAGACCTGCGTTGAGTGGTTAGCCACCCAGCGTAACCGCGCCGATAGCGCTGCGGGGAGCGCATGCTAGATAGCCTAGGGCATATCCTCGTAGCGAATTGCGTGTCGTGGCGCACCCGTGGAGGACACGCCTGGCTTCTCACTAGGTAAGCTTCCCTTGACGCTCGACGTATCGTGAATCTTCTTTTAACTATGTAGTGAAGAATTGGGGCATTTTATTGGGCCCTGTAATTCCTCTGTGTACCTAAACGAGGATCTTTATTGATCACCGAAGCTTTATTCAATACCGTGCGTTCCACAATGATAAGGCCACCCTAAAATTTTGCATTTCCGAGAAAAGCAGCGGACGTAATTTTTCTATAATAGTATTGCCAGCTTATTCCTCACTATGAAAAACCCTGGAGCAAAATTGTATATGTATTTACATGTATGTATTCCGTATATGTATTTACATGTATGTTATTTTTATTTACATGTATATATTCCCTGTATGATTTCATGGTGCTCAGGCACAGGTTCGGATTTTTTCCAAAGCATTTCACACAGACATTAGCACTGCCCATGGATAATTGAAACTCCTCCGTCCCAAGATATTCTACAATTTTTGAACGTCCACAAAAAGGTCTCTATAGAGAAGAGTTATGAGGGCTGTCTCGAAACAGTATTTCGCCTTGAAAATCAGCGTCGTGCCTAATTTAATGTTTCTATCTTGAAAAATATGAACTGGAGAGCGGTGAAAAGATGCAGCAACATTACCAGGAAAGCACAAAGATGGTCCGAAGGCTCACTGGCCATTGCAAGGTGGCACAACTTCAACCCGTAAAGTTGAACTAGAGAGAGATTGAACAAAGTTGAGCCTGCGCCACAATCGCACCACACAGCAAGATAATTCCAGTAAAGTTGGTATTTTTCGGACAAAACTGGTTAAACAAACAGATCCTGCGGAATAAACACTTTTGAAGTAACTTGCGAAGGGGCCGATTCACTTCAGCGCTTACAATTTTAGTTAAAGAACTTATAAGACCAAAGTTCCAGACATCAGTGAGCCAACAAGAGACACCTTCAGTTCTCTACAGTTATTGAAGCCTAATTGTACAGAGCTTGTGCCATGTAAAGGTTGTCCTTTTGAACACAATTTGAATTCTTTATTAATCAACTGCCTGAATTGTTACATCAGGAGCGATAATCTAGCTCATTCGGAAAAATATTACGTTCTCTAGAACACAGTGGCAGTGTGAGAAAGGCAAATAAATAACATTAGTATGGTAGACTAAGTTTGTATAATGGCATGGGACAGGGAACCTGTATTTTAAGAAAGCTGTTATCATTTACCGTGTTTCACGGCTGGAAACTTCGTCTAATCCTACATACCCCAATGCTAGAACGCGAATTCTAGCCCACGGCCCGACGTCACATCGCGGGCTGCGGCGACGTAGCCATCGCCACGATTGAATCGTCACGCACCCGGATCGACCATAATAGAACATTCACGGGGTTTATTTACACAATATGTGGGCGGTCCTCAGATACCGTACCGCCACTGGACCGTGAGGTGTCTGTTTTACTCTATGATGAAGGTAGCGTTCCGCTACAGTTTCTTCATTTCAAAATGCAGCTTACTTAGCCTACACACATATCTAATATCGAATGTATATCGATGTAGTCCCTCTCCTCAGGACAATCCCAATTGGGACTACAGAGAAAATTCAAAGGAACTTTCGTCCCCTAACCCTTCGGGGAAGCATACCTTACGGCCCCAGGTCGTGCCTGCGATATCATCTCAAGAGATACTCATATCGAGTTATGCCTATGGATAATAAATTGAACTAGCATGTTATCATTCATTTGTACTAATCCTAGTTCTTATTAGGAGTTATAGGTTGTGGATCCACAACACTAATCATTTAATTATGAAAAAAGAAAATTCGCGAGGTCCGACATAAAACTCTCGGTCTCGTTCTCGCGCAGTAGCACACTCTGCGATTACCTGCCATGCCCGGGCTTGACGCAAAAATCCTGGAGATTACTCTCGATCATTAATCGAGCAAAATTTCGTGCGTCTGCGATGTCCCCGTGGCCGAGCGAGAAAAGCGGCGGCGATCTGTTCCAGCACCTGCTCCATTTCGTGACGCCCACACACCGATCATGGACCTGAAATAACCAAAAGGACAAAATGGCTAATGCGGGGGTCGTGCAGATACCCTCCAAAAGAGGAGGAGTCGTAGTTTTGAAATCTGCGCAACACACGGTTGACCCTGGTTACAAGACTTGAAAAAAGAGAGTTATGGAAGCGTAGTGGAAATGAGAACCGCTTCATAATGAAAATTTCACGACTAAGAAGCACAACGATAAATAAGATCACAATTTATTTCCAGACTCTTTGAACTAAGCCGGAAAGAGGTCACATAATGATTTGAGTTGATTTAGATGCACAGTTCCTTTAATATTAAGAAAAACACAATATAAAATCTATACATCTAAAACAGGTAGAATCAATCTACATCTTCTTCTTTGCGGTATCTGTCGACGGCACCTTTTCACGCTGAGCAAACATATATAAGTAGTGCTGAGGGAAACCTGGAATGGTAAACTGTTCAAAAGAGTTATAGAAATATGCACCACACGTGAACACAATGGCGACAATGTCATTTGATGCTGCTCAACATCCCAAGGTTCAATTCTTTGGTGCAGACCAACATAGCTGAATTTGATTCAACTGTCAGATGTACCCTGCCCGTCCCCACTCGACAGCAATTTGGGGGGGGGGACTTGGGGACGGTGTTAGGGTATGTTAGATGCAGCAATCAGGCATTATTGTCGGCATACCTACGCTATAGATCTAAGGGATCACCATGACGTTCGTCTCGTCATCGCCGCTACCATTTCCTCGACGGGATCCTAGCCCTGTTTTATAGTTATTTAGCTTCTCAGTTTCTATGCATAGGACTACCTTTCTGTTTGCAATCAGCGTAAAGATACAACTTTTGGAGAAGAGAGATCTGACTGCGTTTGTATGCGACAAACAAAAACTAAAGGAATCCTTCTCGGAAAAATCTGATTCTGTTTCTCCCATAATTCACTAGCTTGGGACCCATCGTTCACGATAAGAACGAACAAGAAAAAAAACGCATTTGTTTTAGTAAACGATTCGAAAAACCGACAGGGCTTCTACGCGTTCAAAGCACAGCCGGACATCTGCCACAAATGTTAAAGTAAGGAGCCCTTCCACTTGGTCCTCGGAGTGCGGCACGAGAAAAACAGTTCCGTGCCTTTTGATCTTATTGCGATCACCCCACTCGCACTTCTACTCCATACTACGTCATTATCGATCGCTTGTCTCTGCTCTCCAAAATCGCACGCTTTTAACCCGATTCTTTCATTATGTCTCCTGATACGACCCGCTTAAAGGAATCTTGCGCGGAAAATTCTTGCACTCTTTCCTAACATGAATATGTCAGTTGTGATCACTGGAAATAGCACACAAAGTTTCACGCATGAAGATTCGGTTTCTGAAGAGAAACAAACGTACAAAAACTACACGTTATGGACCATCGAAGGACCAGGAGGCAGAGCCAGGCGAGGCATGGAAAGAAGACGGCGTTTGGCCGGCTACGTACCAGGCGACGCAATGAGAGAATCGGGTTAAAGCGCGCGATTTCGGAGAGTGGAGACAAATCGATCGATGGAATAGGATGGAGTAGAAGTGTAAGATGTGAATGCAACGAAGCAGAAGGCCAGAAAGAGCTTCTAGTGAATGCACTCCAAGAACCAAGTTTGAGCATCCCCGTCGCCAGCATTCGTGAAAGACGTCCGTGGGCAATTCGAACGCGTAGCAGCCTTTTCGAGTTTTCGAATTTCTAATCAAAACGAAAGCAATACTTCAGTTCTTTTCACTATTATCGTGGATAATGAGTCTCAAGCCAGTGATTTATGGCTGAAATAGAATCATGATTTTTCCGCGCAAGATTCCTTTAAGGCGGACTTCTTTCCATGCCCCGGCTTTGACTCCGCGCCTTTTATCTTCGATTGTCCATAGAGTATAATTTTTAAGTTTGTCTTCGGAATTGAATCGTTGTGCGTGAAACATTGTGTGTTGTCTCTAGTGATCACAACCGAAATATGGGAACGAATGCAAGCTTGCTCCGAGAAGGATTCCTTTGAATAGATTCCACATTGAGTTCCAATTCTTTTGGCATGTTCGCTGTAGGTGTATGCCAGCAATCGAACGATTTCTTTTTCGGGAACAGGGAAATTGCACGATTACCAATGTGTTGAGAGTGCGAAATATCAAAACTACGAATTTGACTCGAAAATATGTAAATACTCGCTTGACATGAACCTACCCGGAATGTAGAATAAGGCCGCTCCGATTAATACCCAATAAAAGGAGATGCTCACGTTGAGCGCGTTTGGCATCTCCAATGAGTAGTACTTCTTCTCCGCAACCTGGAACGAATCATCCTTATCTTTCCTGCTTAAAAGCCATGAACACTGAATGAGAGTAAAATGAAATCAAATTTCTGCGTGAGCATGAAAGAGATAACTGAAACACCATTCGGCAACATTTCAACTCCGACTCTGTGACGAGGACGAGAGGACTCTTCCCCATTACAGATGATAACGAAATTTTAGCAAACTCGCCGCGGGAAGACTGCCGATGAGAGTCAAAAGCGCGCCGGTAACACCAAGAGGGTATAGAACGATGAAGAACGTGTACCTATAAGGACAGCTTTACAGTGGTTTATGCGAAGATGCGCATCCCAGACAGGACAGGATCGAAGCCTTCAAAAATCACTAACACCAGTACCGCCTTTTGGTACTTGTTAGGGAGATGCAAAGCTGCAAATTATGGAATGCAAAAAGCAGCTCATTAC